CGAGAATTACGTCTCCACCCCGCAAAAGTTGATGCGCCGCGGGAAGGCGACGGAAAAGCCCCCCCGCGACCCCCCAACCTCGGCGCCGACGAAAGAAGAAACGGGAAAGGGACGGGGAAAGCGCCCACGGGCGCCGCCGCCACGCGAGCGCGAGGATGGGGAAACGCGGCCCCGCGTGGAGGATCTCGGGCGCGTTGCCCCCCCTTCCCCTTCGTGGATCCCCTTAGAGGGGAGGGATGTCATCGATTTAACGCAACTCCCGGAGTCGACGCCACGAACGGTGGCGAAACACGTTCCCGCCGCGTCGGGGGCATCGGACTTTTCCGAAGTTTCTCGGCAGCTTCTTTTTGACGACGACGAAAAGGAAAAGGAAAAGGCTCCTTCCGTCGTGGCGGCGGAGATCCCTTCTGGATGGGGAAGTGAGGCAACGAAGTTTTTTGATCCCACCACCTACTGCGATAACCCCGCCAAAGCGAACGTTCGGGAGGAGATGCCTACGCAACGCATCCGTGCGCGGCGGCAGATCGAACTTCCGGCGTACTTAGCCTACCTCGATGACTTTTAGAGCTCGTATAGAAATGGGTAAAAACAAATCGGAGGAACGAAAGGGAGGGGGGAGGGGGGGTATAAAAAATCTCGTGAGGATTATCATGTGGAGTCTGACGCCTCTGGCCTCCGAAGCTCAGTTTAAGGCTAGCAGATGGAAGTTGTTCGAGGTCTACCACCCCCTTGAACCTTCTTTTCCCGAGAGTACGCGAGATGAAATAATAACGACTGTATTGATCCATTTGGTTCGTATTTATTTTTTACTTCTTTTTTTTTCATCTCCTACGCTCATAGGATATATACATATGAATGTATGAGCTTCATAGATATATATATATATATATATACACTTCATAGAACATGTGCTGAAATAGAACCGTGTAAAGTTGTTCCGCATGTGCAGATTCTGTGCATGTGCTGCGGCTATGCACTCCCATTATTTACAGCACTGTAGGGAAACGTTGTACATTAGATAAAGTAGAGATTCAATATGCTCTCATTTCTTTTCTTTATCATAGAGCAATTTAGACGCAACAAATTCTCCCCGGCTAGCCTTCCGATATGAATTTTCTGGTAAATTTGCATAACAGCACAAATGTGATTTTTTCCCTGCAGAAAGCAATTCAAAAAAAAAATTGTCAATCAGCTCATTGTTTTTGGTTAAGAAGTGCTTTGGGGTCATTATCTACCTCAATCAAAAGAATATCGATAACAAACTTTTTTAAAAAATGGACGACCATCTGTCAAACTCGTAATGTTTTCCATTCATTGTACCCACTCTAGCAAGCTTTTCCCTAACAGAGATCTTTTCCCCTAAGCTTCATGCGTGGTTTCTACACCTGTGCTGAATAATTCTAGAGTGAATTTATTAGAACCTCCTTTTTTTCCTTACGTAGCAGACCCGCTGTGGGGAATCCCATCACCCTTCCCCCATAAAAAGGAATCCGGGATTTATTCCCGTCATCCCCAACGGGATAATGCTTCAGGTTCAGGATCCCTCGCCCTCTAGCAGCGTCGCGGCGGTGTATATTTCTCTCTATCAGTGCGCTCATCCATCCGATTGTTCGTCGGCAGAGCCCTCCGGGGATCCCGAGAGGAGCTCCACGTCCTCTTCTCTCCTCTTTCAGCCTCGCTTTGAGGATTTTCGCGGAAATTTACTCCTCCCCTTCTCCCCCGGCCTCACCTACGCGGGTTTAATTCGCGCGTTGGAGCAGCGGCTGAGCGCCTTTGCCGTTCTCCACGTGCGGCCGACGGGGGCGAGGACGGATCCCCCGCCGCGGTGGTGCTGTCGGGCGTGTTGGCGTCATTTAAACACGGAAAAGGAAGGAAATTCACGCAAGGAGGGAAAAAATTCATCCGAAGGAGGCAAAAATCTACGAGAAGAAGGAAAAAATCCTCGAAAGGGGGGTAAAAAAGCATGTGAAGAGGGGAAAAATCCATGTGGAGGGTTGAATCCCCTCCAAACGGCTCCGCGCGTGCGAATGCGGGAGCTGTTTCGTGTGGGAACGGCCCCGACGGTATCCCCCTCTCCTCCTCCTCCCTTTTCTTCTTCTTCCTCGATGGCTCATCCAACGACGAATAATCGGCGAAATAATTCGGAAACGAACGACGAGGGGGCGGGTCCTGTCCAGGATTCCGCCGCGATCATCACCGTTGGGGAGCTCCATCGCGCCGTGGAAGGGGGGGGGCAGTGGCTGCGTGGGTTCTTCTACCTCGACTGCGAGGAATCCCCTCCGGAGGTGGGCGACGACCCCCCTTCCCTTTTGAATTCCATTTCCTTCGCCGCGGATAATCCCCCGCCTTCGGCGTCTTTTTTAAGCATCGAGGCGGGACAGCGGCGGTTTCGCGTCGGCTGCGATGCCGCCTCGTCCACGACGCTCCACGACGCGGTCGTTCAACGGATCGCCGGGGGGCGAAAAGGAGAAGAAAACGACGAAAAAGGAAACGGAAAGGCAGGGGAGTTCGCGATCGTGGAGCCGTTGAGTGGGGCCTCCATCCTCCCCTGCGAGCGCGCGGCGACGATCGCGCGAATCACCGAACGGCTGCGAATCCTCGACGCCGCGGCGGGGGTGGGGGATCCCTTCGCTTCCCCGACCTTTCGCGAAGCCAAAGGGGATGCGATCGAATCCGCCACGGCCGTGGCGCCTCCAACCCCCACGCAACGTCTTTTAAACCCCCCACCTCCCTCCTCGCGGGATTTCTTTTTTGGTGGATTTTCACCCGATAACGACGGGGGATGGGGAGGGGGTGAAGACGCCGCGTGGTCGGCGATTCACACGCACATCTCCGCCCCGATGACGGCGTTTTCCTACGACGGGAGTGGGGGGATGGGGTCGAGTGCGATTCTTCAGGGGTTGGCGGGTTCGTCGGGCTCGGAAACGCCCATCTCGTGGGAGGTCGAAAGCGATTCTTCCGACGATGAAATCAACGAAGAGAGCCTCACGCCTTCTTCGACCTCTCCTTTAGAAGAGAAGCCCCTTTCGGGGGATCACCCCACGCCCGTATCCACGCGATTGGCGGTATCGACGCCGGATCACCCCAGGAAAGGATCTGATACGACGAAAAAAGGTTCCTCGTCTTCTGCTTCTGCTTCTGCTTCTGTTTCCTCTTCCCCTTTGCGGTTTCGTTTGCCTCCCAAATTCGATGAGTGGCCGGAGAGCGAACCACGCGATCCCATCCACGAGTTCGAACCCCTCCGCGATGGGGAGGCGACGAATCAGACGTGGCGGCTGTCGCCCGCCGCGAGTGCGGAGCGGCCGCCGGAGGGCGCGAAACTTCGCGAGCGCCTCCTCGCCGCGGCCGACGTCGCCCCCACGCAGGCGATTCGAAACGAAACGCGGCAAAAACGCCCGCGAAGTCCCCTCGCGAGCGCGGAATCCCCTCCGTTGAAGGAATCGGCAAACGATCCCCGCGGCTCCCCTCCTGCCATGGCGCTTCAGACATCCCCAACCCTCGTGAATCGCGCGGCGAGGGATCCGCCGCGGACGACGACCCCGATTTCCTTCACCCCTGGGGATTTCCCTGCCTCCTCGATCGGATCCTCTGAGTTTTTTTTCCACGCCGATCCGAGCTCGTTCTCGCGTTCGCCGGTGGGGTTTTGTTATCCGGTGGAGGTGCGGGCTACCCCGCGCGATGCTTCCGCGGCGGCGTTCACGCCAAACGCGAGGGGTTTCGAGGATCCCGCGGAGGGGGGAGGGGGAGGAGGGGGGCATCGCGCGCCAGTGATCGTCGTTACGCAGCAGCCGATGCCGGATTACGTTTACCGCTCCGACGACTCGATCGGGGAGGAAAACCCCGCCGAGGAGGAGGATAACGCGGAAAGTAGCCTGACATGGGGAGAAGTCCCTTGACGAGACGTGAACCTCCCGTGCGTGTGGGTTTTTTTCTCGTTCGCTGAATAAACCTAAAAAAAAGAAAGATAAAAAGACGTGGGAGCGAAGGATCATTATCGTCATCCTTATCAACGTGATAAAAGCGTTGCGATTCACGTGAAGCACCTCGTTGGACGGCCTTATTTCGGGCAATGGGAGGGGGCTCCTTGATTATTTTCCTTTCCTCGCCTGTTTCGGGTTATTTTCATTCGAACGATCCCTCCTTATCTGCTTTTCTTTTTCGAATAGGTAGTCGTTTTTTTTTGTTTTTTTTCTTAGGTTTATTGATCCCTCCGTGGATGAATTTTAAAGGCTACATCGGTCGTCAGCTGCGCCCTTCGCAGCTCGCCGCCGCGTTACTTCCCGCGGATCAGCGGTGGTGCGCGGTCTGCCATCAGGCGGTGCCGAAGCCGCACTTCGCCGCCCACCGCGCCCTCCCCTCCCACCGCCGCGCCGTCAAAAAAATCAACAAATTAAAAGGGCTCTCGCTCGCGATGTGGGAGGAGCATCGCGGGGCACCCCTCCGCGAGGAAAGCGCGCGCGAGGCCGAAATCACGCGGGAGTTCGCGCATTTTCGTCAGGATCAGCAACGCCGTGAGCGCGCGGCGCTCGTGGCCTGGCGGGCGGCCTCTCACGAGGCGAACTGAACGCCCTGATGGAGAAGAAAGTTTCCGCCAAACGGAATCGGGTTTTGCGTGTGGACGCGAGCGAAGAAAGCGGGACGTTGACCATGGGGTTTGCCCTTTTTTTCATGCTGGTGGTGGTGGTGGTGGTGGGAAGGTTTATGAAGGAGAAAAGGTGAATTTACTGCTGCTGATATCCCCGACGATTCCATGCAATCGCTTGAGGCTTCTTCCTCTTGGGTTTAGGTGATATCATTTACTGTATTTCTGGTTGGTTGTTACTTGCTTTTCACATTGCGTTTGTTCTTATTTACTTTCCTCTTGTTGGATTAAGCTGTGTGGATCTCATGAGAATCTAATTCTTTCACCATCATCAAAATCAGACCAAACTGAATAAGTTAACCGTACGCGATGAGCAAACCGAAGGGGATCAATATATTAATCACCGGCACTCCCGGTACCGGGAAAACCTCATTAGCGGGAACCCTCGCCCAGGAGCTGGAGGACTTTGAGGTGGTCGAGGTGGGCAAAGTCGTGAAGGAAAATCACTTTTACACGTCGTACGACGCGGCGCTCGATACGCACATCATCACCAACGAGGACGAAGATCGGCTTTTGGATTTCCTCGAGCCGATCATGGTGAACGGGGGGAATCACGTGGTGGATTACCACAGCAGTGATCTTTTCCCCGAAAGGTGGTTTCATCTCGTCGTCGTGCTGCACGCCTCCACGGAAGTTTTGTTTGATCGTCTCTCCGCGCGTGGCTACAATGAGGCGAAGCTGTCGGAAAACATGGAGGCGGAGATCCAGTGCGTTTGCGAGGAAGAAGCGCGCCAGTCGTACAGCGAGGAGATCGTGCTCGTGGTGATGAACGATACGCTTGATCAGCTCGCCTCGACCGTCGCCGTGATTCAGGAATCCGTGAATAAAATCAAGACCGCGCGTGGTCTGTGAAAGCTAAGGATAAGGACCTGATGATTGGATAGCAGATTCCTGGCAAACCACCCTATCACACCAGTAAACGTTCTTCGACCTCTTGAAAAGTCGTTGATAGGGTTTACTAGCATGGGGGGTTGGAATTCGCTGTTTATGATTATTCTAATAGTAGATGACGATTAAACATTCCTTTGTGGATTATTATGAAAAGTTTCTTTCCTTTTAGGGTGTTGTGGTTGCCGATGATACACCTTCCTATCGAGAAGGGAAATCCCGCTGCCGCGTCATTTCTTGCCCCTCTGGTTTCCTCTTTTCCCTCTCTTGTAGATTCCATCCAAGAAGGATCCCAAACTTTTTTTTGTTTAGAATTTTCTATAGACCATTTAACCAAACCCCCAAAGGTGTGATTCTACTCCCCACCGATTGCATTATCCACCCCTCCTTTTATTTTTCTCTCTTTCTCTTTCTCTTTCTCGCCTCCCCCCTTTCCTCCTCTTCCTGGCTATCCAACGATGCCTCGTGCTTCGAAGAATCTGCTATACGTTGGGGGCAAGATGAACGACACCGCCTACCCCTTCCGTGGGGCGTACAAACTGGAGGAGGCTGTCAACCACGGCCACCGTGGGGGGGCCAAGCACCCCCCGACCTCCCTCGCGATCCAAATCAGCGGATCCAACCTCCGAATCGAGGAGCTTCGCGCGCCGAGCGGGCTTCAGATGACCTGCGATCTCGCCATGGGGGATCAACCCGCGCGCGCCCTCGCGCTCCCCGCGGAGGGGCGTCCCCTCGCCCTTCAGGTGCCCGCGGATAGCCGGCGGTATCGCCTCACGACGGTCGTCGCGGGGCCCCACACGCGGCATTTTTGTCGTCTGACGTTGACGGGAAACGCGGCGGCGGAAAAGGAAGGGGAGGTGTGGGTGCGCGCGCCGGGACCCCACCAGGGGGATCACGGGGTGGGGTTCCTCGTCGACGGCCGCGCGATTCGCGCGGAGGGGGGGTTTTTCCGCCTCCCCGTGGCCGCCGCGGAGGTCCGGCTCGTCGTCGCGCCCGCCCGGGGGGGGACCCCCACCGAACGGGATCGAACACGCCACGGGGAAGGCCCGAAGGCGGGAAAAGAAGGGGGGGAGGCCCCGTCCCGACCC